TCGTTTCGGGGCCCGGGGCTTTTGGCGGGGGTGGTTTTTTTTTTTTTTTTTTGGTTTTTTTTGGATTCTTGCCTTTTTGTGTCTCATTGTGTAACCAAAGGAACTCAGAGAATTTCCAGTGAGGAGTTCAAAGTGTCATATGCCCTGTGAAACTTTTGTAATTGGCACAAAAACAAAGCAGCATATTTTCGGTCTCATCTTGAGCATTTTAACGTGATTTATAGGATTTATTTTATGTTAAACCAAACCAGTCTTCTTAACATATTTTCTCAAGCACACAAGACACACTTTACTCTTTAAGCCTGGTACACTGAGATGCAGTGAAAGGATTTATTGTCATCGTTTTTGTTCAGCCATTAAACCCATGTGGAACCAATGCTGCAGTAATAGTACTGTAAATATTTCAAGATTCAGATTTTTTTATGGGAGTGGTTAAACTGATACATTTCAGGATGTTCATACGTAGATTGCGGTTACAAATTACTGGTAAAATCCAGCGTCACTCAGTGTGTACATTGGTACCATAAGAGGTCTAACAAAAATCTAATGTGTAGTTCTTTTAATTTATTCATAGCTGATTTAAACAAAAACATACTAATTACCATTATGACATTTATTAAAATATGCCTAATTTGTAGATACATACTTATCGGGAAATTATTTCTTAATGTTGACTTTATACAAACACAGGACGTACAGCATTAGAATAAATAATATTTACAAATAGTATTATTATTTAATTGGAAATTTTACCTGTTTTTATTGATGTCCAAATAATAATTTCTTTCTAGATCCACTTGAAAGATACATATATTTCACAAAAACAATCACAGACGCTCACAAATTAATTAGAAACGTCTTGGAACTTTTTACAGCCTGCTACATTAAGGTCAGTACAACTGTACGACTGTTCTTTTGAACACATGCAGTCAAACTAAAATCAACTCTGTGTGTTTTACCACTGTGTTTGACAGATGGCACCCCATCGGCGGGGAGAAAAAGAGCGTCACCATTATTGTGGACTGTAAAAAGAAGGTGACCAAGCCGCTCGGCAGAAGTGACCGGGCGGTTATCAACACGGAGGGCATCACTGTCTTTGGGACCAGAATCCTGGATGAGGAGGTCTTTGAGGTAAGGCATCAGAGTTTATGTCCTTCCACTACGTGATCTTAGTCACATAGTGGTCCGGTGACCTCTGGTAGATACCAGTAACTTGGGCTGAAGTTAGAGCGATGCCTTGGTCACTTGGACTTTCTGAATAGCTAATGACTTAGTGCTAAACACTATCACCACTTGACTTGCACTACGTTTTGAAGACACTTCACGTGAGAGTGAGCAATTTTGGAAAATCAAAAATATAGCAGCTCATTTGTTGCATATGTGTGTGCAAAAAAAAAACTGATGTGAAAACTTAAAATTCTACAGAATTCTGCAGACACTTCTGCTCCACTGTAGATTTGTTTCTCCTTAAATCAGTCATCACAGGTTTATTCAACCACTAACCACTATCGCCCAAATGTGTGGTAAAAAAAAAAAGAAAAGATGAAAATCCTCAGGAAGTTTCAGCGGATGTGTCCCTCAGAAACATATTGCAGACATTCACCACTCGACTGAAGTGATTATGTTTTCGGGGAGTTTGGAAAACTTGCCAAGATGTGGGCAATTTCTCCACTTTGTTTGTAATTGAAAGCACATTGTAAATCCCACTTTGAATGAAAGTCATTTACTATTGTGAAAGAGAAGAGTGAATAATTGTACAGTCTAATACTTTAATTCCACATGCTTTAAGGCTGACAATTTATTTGTTTTTCATTAACTGCTGCATACAGCAAATGGTGGGTTTTATTGGCCACAACAACAATATTGGCTCTGTGTACTTGGACAGCCGAGGGCAATGTCTGTGCAGCATGCAGTGACTTTTTCTCAACACTGCGTTGACACAACAGAAGAAAAACTGACTTTTAATTGGCATCAGTTTTGAAAACTGCACAGTTTGCTTTTCAGGAAGCATTATTTTCTATATATTGTTAGAGACATGACTGATTTTCAGAATATATACACAGAATTTGCAGCATGTTTAAACCCTTACCAATAACAATGACTTCTTAGAGTGAAGGCTGTAACTGAGGTAATTGAGACTTGGCTGTTTTAGATCAAATTAGTGCAATAAAGCCACCGGGCCTCTCTGCTTATGAAGCTGATTTAGGAGCAGCCTTGCGGTTTGGTGAGTGCTCTGTGTTTAAATGGACAACATATCACCCTAAACAGCGTTGAATTACAAAGTAATTTGTTTCGCTCTCATCTAGAAACCTGAAAGGATAAAAGCTTGCTGTTGTTCCAGGTCTTGCAAGCTGGCTTTAATCAGTGCATGACAAAAAAGTACGCTACGTTAGTGACCCAAATAGAAAGCAGCCATGAGTGAATTACGCTCACTTTAACTCTATTAACCTTTGTCCTCCTTCTCCACGGGGGAAGTTAAAAATATGCATCTTAAAAAAAACAATGCTCTCTGGTCTGAATTGTGGAATTCTTTTGGGTTTTTAATTGATGTAATATTAAATATGTATAATTTAGACTGTAGTATATAGTCCAACATTTTTGCTGGGGAGAAAAAACACAATGTTTTCCTTTGGCAAAATACTGTTGTTTAATTAGTAACACTGATTTGAGTCTGGTCAAATAACTATTAGTATAAAACTGTGGTTCCCAAAGTGGGGACAGGGCTTATTTTGGGAACAAAGATCAATTCTACAGAGGACTAACTACTGTCAAAATTAATTTCATCCAATTTCAGCCTTTTGTTCCATGATGTGACAGTGGGGGAAAATAGCACAGACTTGTCTTTTTTATTTTCCTTGTTCTCTGTGAATAACAACAGAAATTAGAGATTCTGAAATAAAGGTTTGGTAACCACTGATAAAAAGACACAAAGCCAATGGAAACAATAGGCTAAGAAGCTAACTTTAAGTTAACCATCAGTAAATATCTCCTCCTGAGTGGACGTCCTCGCAATCAATAAAATTGTGTCCATTTTGATTTCTGGGATGTCATTATAAAATGCTTCTGCACAGCCTGTAACTGACTGTACTCTCTACTAAATCTGATGACCGTAAATGTATTGTAAATACTTGACATCATTTGACTTAGTGGTAATGCATTTCTAACTCCCATGATTAAGTGGCTGCACAAATGTGATCCATTTGCTTATTCTATAAAGAGTCGTAGTCTCCTGCCAATACTTAATGGACTTCAGAGTGAGTAGTGTCCTCATACAGTACGTGGATAAGTACTTGTTAATCTGACCATCCTTTTTAAAGAGACATACACACAGACCAAAGTCAATATGAATATAAATATGAATTATGGCGAGGCTTCAGTTTGTCTACATGTGATGGTGTAGATTGTGTATCTTCACAGAAGAGGACAGTGTTAAATAGTCAGTGAATAGCATTAGCATGAGCTACAGCTGGGAGCACAAAGGTAAAGTCGGGATAAAAGATCATTTCAGGTCTCGTCTTGGCTTCGACTCTGCAGCTGTTTAAAAGATATGCCCCCCCCCCCCCCACTTCCATCTCTGCAATAAAAAACACAAAAAAATGTGAACTAAATCCCTTCTCTTCTTGTTCGTATGCAAATACACTCACTGATGGAGTGAGTGATCCAGTGTGTGCAGCCAGGAGTGTGTCTCTGTGACACAAGAACAAAGGCAGGGTGTGGGGGGGGGGGGGGGAGGGGGGTGCAAAGACAGTTTGTTTGTCCGTTCGTCATTACGCTACGCTGCAATGTTCCAAAATACTGTCCCTCAAGCAGGACAGGATCTTTGGCAGGAGCCCTGCTGGTCCTCGAGTGAATCACTGTTTATGGTTGACTTGGACCGAGCTGAGTTCCTCTGTTTCTCATTTCACTTCAGCCACTTTTCATCCCCCAGTGGCCACAGAAAATATTTTGATTATGATTAGTGTAATAGGAGAATTAGGATCAGTTAATATTTGGACAAAGTGGGAGTGTACGAGACACGGAGATACTAATATTGTCTCTGGGTCCGTTTATTATAATATGTCCACATGTAGGTCAGATTCGGGGTCACTCTGTCTACTGACCCTTGATTTACTTTTGCCAGCACTGCTTTGAAGTTAGAGCCCTATCTGGCTTCTTAGAGAGAGTGGGAGTGAGAGAGAGAGAGAGAGAGAGAGGGAGAGTGTGTGCGCAGAGTGGACAGTCAGACAAACAAACAGATGATTTAAACAGTTTAACAATTTTGTTAGCTACTGGCAAGCTGAATGTTTCAACATTGGAGCGGTGTGAGACATGTGTTTGCCCCCGGTGCATGAAAAAAGAAATCCAATCCCTGCAATGACCACAATGGCTGCGTTTTATAAAAGGCTGGAAAAAGTCTGGAGAGAATTATATTTTCCTCTCCTCGTCTTCTTAGATAATTGTTTTCCTTGTACAGTTTTGAAATACTATCTGTGTATTTGCTCTTTCAAGATGTCGCCGCTCCTCCCCCCTCCTTCATCTCCTCCTCCTCTTCTCTCCTTCCACTCCCTGGAGTCAGAGCTTTTCAGACAACATATGTGTCAAAATAGTCTGAGGTGAAGCCTGTGGGGGTTTTTGTGCATCAAGGAAAAGTCAGAGAGTTGATAGTGATATTGTAATAGAAATATAGGTTTTTGCTAATAAATTATGAGCAGTATTAGTTATAGTATTTTGCACGTGTATTCCACATTAAACAGTAATCGTAGCATCCTTTCACCCGCTGCTCGCTTTTAATTTAGCTCATAAACATGTGGGATGCATGTATGGAAAGGATCAGCTACAAGTCAAATGAATAAATATTAAGTCAGTTTGCTGTGTTTTTATCACACAAAAACAAATTTGATTAAAACAGACTGTTTCCCACAATTTTGCATGGACTTTGTATGCATCTGTGTTTTATTGGCTCAAAATGAAGATCATCCTGTGTGTGTGTGTGTGTGTGTGTGTTCAACCTCCTCTTCCCTACTGTTTCTGCAGGAAGACCACACACAGATGTTTAAAATCTTAATTATATTAAATATTGTTGGCTCAATAAAAATGCAGCCATTTGTTTACGAGTTAAACTGAAGCTGTGAAGTGGGATTAGTTGTATTAGTGGTGATGGATGGAGTGAAAACTACCAGCATCAAATCAGTTCTAGTTTAATTACAGCGTGACGTTCACTCCTGTACTGACATTTCAATTACAATTTTCCAATATGGAGTAAATTGTGACACAGTGAAGCAGGAAATCCTCCTTGCACCGATTTTGATGCTAGTATTGATACTAGTATTAGTATCGAATATACAAATGAAAATACTTCAATCAATTTTTAAAACCTGGTATCAGGACAACTCACTGCACCTCTAGATGTCACCAACTCTTACACAGTGTTCTATTTACTGTAAAAAATTCAAAGTGGACATTGTGATACTTCAAATGATCACTACAGTTCCCAGTATTATTCTACAAATTCGAACTGAACCTCGTTCTTCTGTGGACTTTCGACATGTGAGTGAAGTATTCTTTCATTGGTAGAAGTGCACTGCAAGTTCTGAATTGGAAAAGTTGTTTATGTTTTCCAAAAATGGCTCTGCACTTAATTTAGCAAGAAAATGAGGTGGAGAAGTCATTGCCGGTGGTGAAAAAGTAGAGTAATAATGTGTAATGGTCGGTGTAATACCACAGATTATACAACCCTTATTCTTGTGCCACTTATTTACCTAAAGTTATTTTCTGGTACTCTGGTTATAATACTGTGGGTCACATATCTGTGCTACTTTTGGCAGTTGAAAATCATTTGTGAAATGTTGAGAGAGATAAAAAAAAAACACAACAGATGTGAGAATGATAGCCGCGTGGTTTCTACAACAATGAGAGATGAAGGTAAACATGTGTTGGGGCGTGCTGTATTTACACACACTCGTGCTTACAAACCCCATTAATAGATCCACTGTTGTGAGGCCTAGACGGATGATTTACACAGCCGTGTCTGTGCCAGCGCTAAACGAAACCAGGGCACAGCTGTAGATCACTTGTGGAATCCTGAAAAGGGAATGTCAACAGATGCTAGAAAAATGTGCAGAATAACCCAGATATCAGCCCAGATAGGAGAGAAGACAGGAGATGAAGGGGGAAAAGTGGAGCATATGCCCTTATAAGGCGTGACTGGATCAGTGACGGGGATCTAGATGGACAGTGTCTGTGTGCAGTCACTTATTAAACACTGCTAAATGGTTGCAGACATCCAGGCTCTATTTTTGTTTCACTGAATATTTTTGATGCATTTGTAATAAACAGTGCAGCTGGGGTTTTTTTTACCTGTTTTTTCAAACTCCCGACAACACCTTTGCTCGCCTGTTAAAAATGTCTGTAGGGGAATGGTTCACCAAGTGAGGGGTGGGGACCCTCAGAGGGGCGTGGAGTTGATGCACAGGGACCACAGCAGGTTGAATGAATTTCAGTACTATGTTCTTTACTTGTGCCACAGTGAGGAAAAAATCCGATCTGTGATTTTATATGCGTTGTATGAGTGATCGTTTTGACAGAAGAGGAAGTTTTGAAGCCCAAGTTAGGAGAGAGGGCGGTGGTCCGATTGTACCCGATATATAAAAGGCAGGGCTGTTGAAAATGTTTGAACTTTTTCCTACTGGCACAGTGTGAGATGTCAGCTCTTCGACAGGATGTTAAGATTAGAGAGAGTCTTTAAATATAACTTTAAATTCAATAAACAAGTTTTTACAAAAAACATGTTTTTTCCAACAGTCCAGTGTTCTCTGGTTATTTATGTACATGTAAAAATAGCTAATAGGAAACAGATAAATAAAGAAACAGATGAAGGTTGTGGCTAATTTAGTTGAACTTTTTTCCCCCATCACTGGTCTTTGACTCGGTTCTGCTGTATTATATAAAATGCACCGCGCTGCGTTTGTGGCGCACTTATTAACTAAAAGCGTCTGTTTGTCATTGTTGCTTTTGTTCTTTGTAGCAGGTTCATGAAGTGCAGATTGAACCCGTATGAGCAGCAGAGTTTCCTCCTTTTCTGCTGAGTGTGTGCCCCATGAGAACAGTTCTCTTTCTGCAGGGAACACCCTGCACCTCTCAGTTGTGCACGTTTACACCTGAAAACGGCCCAGCGCCACCGCAGTCTGATCCTGTTGGCCCTCAGTTGTCTTGCTCAAGGGTTTTCACATGCTTGCGGCCTGGGCTGCGTGTTTGTGTATAATGGTAGATGTGGAGACGACTCACAGCCAGAAAATATAAAAACAAACTGTTAATCTGTGGTATTTTTCTGATCTTTAAATGAGGTTTTCACTACATTTTGCAGATTAATTCCTTCTGTTAAAACCTCAAGACCAAAGAAGAACCTATATTATGAATAAATTATCTTAAAATAAAAGTAAAGGAATCAGTTTTTACTAGACATCTACACTCAATGCAAATTGTCAATGCAAAGCATTAATAGTAGCATTAAATTGTCAATGCAAAGCATTAATAGTAACATTCCACTTTTAAGTGCTTGCCCAGTCAAATGGGGAAAAAAATTGTCAGTTTGTAAACTGCCAGAAAATATATCTTAAAATATTCATATTTATACCCTGAAGTTTTTACCATGAGCCAAATGGGATGCAACCTACCATTCACCTTTGGAACTTATTCTTATTATTGTTTGGGTTGTTCAATACCCTGTTGAGACTAAGTGGTCACGTATGATGAGAGCATGAGGCTGTAAATATAATGTGTTCCAGAGGCTTAAGCTAATACAGATGTTGCCTCCTGTAATTTAATGCAATCTGTATGTATGTGTTTCCTCCCTGGAGGCCACCCTGACTGTAGCCTCCCTTCACCTTTGCACAGGACCTGGGATTTTTTGTTTTTGTCCTCTACCTTCTAGACCAGGTGACTGAGCTGAGTTATAATGGTACTGGTTAAACCATTCCAGGTTTAAAAATTCCACCTCCATGGATACTTGCGAAAAAAAAAAAAAAGTACTGGTTAAACCATTCCAGGTTTAAACATTCCACCTCCATGGATACTTGCTAAAAAAAAACTATAGAAGGTTCTTTGGGTCTAACATGTTGCTCCCACTGCATTTGGATGAGCCGTTGGCGAACCCCTATATCTACTATACAGCCACCTTTAATGACACTTCATCTCACAGACCACTGGAATCCCTGAGATTTTTCCTATTTTCCTATATGCAGTATAAATATCCCCTCTAGTACTCTGAAGCATCTGCCTTGTTGTTTTATTGTCACATTTAATTATGACCATTATGGTGCAAAGCCAGAGTAATCACACACTGTTGGGAGGAATGTGTAAATTCCTTGTTGACATTAACATGTGGTTTCCATCAGTAATCACTCAACAAGAAGTGCACAGTGTGAGCAGTGTCTGGAGAGACATCTTGATTGTAAATTCACTGGAATTATTTTGGGCAGCGCTGCAAGATTTAAAAGTCACGTTCATTGTTTTTTTTTTTTGTTGTTTTTTTTGCACATCATGGTTATGTGACTGATTATCCAAATTACCAGAGGTAATGTTTTGCAGCGTACTTTACTGCATTTCATTAGAGCTGCTGCATCAATTTCACTTTTACACAATCAGTCTTACTTTGACAGCATTAAGAAAAGCTACTGACGAACCTGCTTTTAAACAATTATGTCCTAACAACAAACCCATCAGTGGTGACTTTGTAACTGTGGTTAATAATATCAGATGTTTTAAAAGGGAAGTAGTGATCTTTATGAATTATGACCCTGTTCTTCATAGTGTAACTGGTTGTTGTTTTGTGATTCACTCATGTCAGTAAGGTTGGAATCCTAACCCTCCTTCTATTCTCTTTTTTAATGAACAAACTCACTGATATTTATTTCCCCACATTCTCTAAAATAACCCATATTCTGTTTTATTGTAATGTAACACTTAAA